TTTTTTTCTCATTCAAACGTATTCTTCCTCGCATCTCTTCATTTGAAACGAAATCTGTGTTATGTATATTATTACCATTATTTCAAAAAATAATTTATCTCTCGAATCAAATTTTCTACAAATCAGACATTTTCGTCTCAAACAAATTTATTTTTTAATCTATTCCCCTCCTTTCAAACAAAAAATATCCTTTATCTAACGATCTTGCAAATATATGTACAGGATTTCCTTGGAAGCAAAGGAGATCTGCACGATCGTAATTAACGGGACGTTTTTCCCCGCATTGTGATCCCAGCCAGGATCGATTTCCACGACGACAACCGACTTCCGGAAATACGAAGGAGCGCGCCACTGGACATTTAGATGGACGAATCCGTCTCCAATTCCGGCATGCGGGACGGAGACGCCTCGTAATCAAATATTGATACTACGCTAGACTAAATCGTTGGACTGTGCTAACAGATTAGGGCGTGTGTGTGCCGTTGCGGACGAGTCTGTCGCGATCGTATCAACGAGGAGGAGGAGGAGAAGGAGGAAGAGGAGGAGGAAGAGGAGGGCTACCATGACCACGAATACAAATGTTCCCGAGGAATCTTATAACCGCTGCAATTCCGGAGAAAATGAAATTTTCTATCCTATCCGAGAGTACGAAGTTGGAACTCGATACGTTCCTCGTCTTTGATTGTTTACAAATTCTTAAATTCGCGTTAGAATATTTTTTTTTTCTATTATATATTTCTATCATTATAATATTCTTTTAAAAATATTCTATCACATAATATTCTTTTAAAAATAAAGTTATTACTATTATTTTATTTAAAATTGTCGAATTAAAGTATCCTTGAATGAATGTTATCAATTTCTTTTTTTAAATTATGATTATGAAATTAGTTTATTTATAGGGATTCGCAATCGATCGATGTATATATATATATATATATATATATATATATATGAATCTTTTAATCTTCAAAAAGAGTGTGTACAGAGAAAAATTTCTTTGTCCAAGGAAAAGATTTTATTTTGCAAAGTAAAACTTAAAAACATTTTTAATATTCCACGATCGGTAAATTGATTATTCCACTCGAATTCATTACTTTTGCAAATCAGTCGATTTTAATACCGGTTTGCATTTATAATTTGAGGAAAAGAATAAGTGGAAATACACTGCTCGTTGTGTTGCATATTTAATTGAGAGTTATAAATGATTTAATGCAAATTCTAGATATAATAAGTATTATAGTAACTTTTCGATGACTTCTAGATATTTTTCCCCGATCTCTCGACGAGAGAAAATTTCGAACGTTCCTTAAAGCCTTCCCTATCCCGAAACCAGTCCCCGTCGAAGATCGTAATAAAGGAATTAATTAAACGAAGTATAAAATTTCATAACGACCAGCCGACCCGTTTTACTTCGAACTGCCACGGGGCTGAATATTTTTCTTCATTGTCGACCGTTTAATTAATTCGTTCCATCCCCGGAACGCCGGCCAATTTCGTTTCGACTACGTGTCACTTTCTTTCATGTTTATCCAATTTATCAATTCTCGAGTGATGACGAAACTTTCAATAAAAAAAAAAAAAGGGGGGGAGAAAAAAGAAGAGGAGAAGGAGAAGAAAGAAAAGAGGATAAAAATAATATTTCAACTTTCGAAATATTAATTTATACATGTTCATCCTTTTTTAATGAGAATCAACCGTAAATTTATCGAATTATATCAGGGATCGTTAACGAGAGAGAGAGAGAGAGAGAAAGAGAGAAAAAAGAAAGAAAGGAAGGAAGAAAGAAAGAAAGAAAGGGAAAAAAAGGAAATTTCAGTTTACGGTGCTGTTTCTCGTTCGAAGACCGGATCGTATATTTTCCAGGTTTAATCAGAGATGAAAAGAAGCATCGTCTCGCGGTGAGTTAACAGGTCGATGAAGAAGAAAAAATATGGACGGACACTCATTGGATTTCGTACACACCGGCTGCCCTGGCCAGATTGTGCCGATCTATTTTAAGGTGATGCCAACTAACTTCTGCGTCTGTTTCTCATTAAATTGCGCTTTGACCTCGAATCTTCTAAATTTGGAACGGTCTCCGCCGATTAACCGTTTTCAACACGACGAGGTTTTTTTTTTTTTTCTCTCTCTAAATCATTCAGGAAACGAAAATCGGATCGATCCGGTGCCGCATTGACGAGGTTATTTCAGATCTTTGAGAATCGTTCAACGCTCGGTTGCTAAACACTGGTATCGATAAAAGTTGAGAAAGTAAACACTGGTATCGATAAAAGTTATCTTATAATTTTCAAAAAATAGAAAGTCGATGGAAAGTTTCTAACGCCTTTCGATATTCCTAAAGCGGCAAAGTGTATATAAAAGATTCATTAGGACAGTTTTCTTCTTCTTTTTTTTTTTTTCCCCCGAAACCTTTTTCAATTCTCTTTTGTAATATTCAAATAACTCGGGGCAACCTCCATATAGAGTAAAGAACATTAAGGAAATTAACACGGTTTTTTCCCAGAGAAATGAGTGGCACTGTAATTATATTGTACCGTAATTACATTAAAAGAAACGAGTAACTGAAAGTTATTAACTAAGAACGACAGCAGCGACCCCTTAAAAAAACACTTTACGATCCACAAGTTGGAAACTACCACTATTAGAACTTCTATATCACAAATCAAAAAAAAAAAATCTTCTCACTTCATTTTCATATTATTCATTACCTCTCGTTCTTCTTTAGATTTTACAAATTCTTGTAAATCATATATGAAATAAATAATATTTTTGAAGAGATATTTTTTTTCTCACAATAATCAAACAATTTCCAATCTTATTTTCCTCCTTTTGTCCCAATATAATATGATAAAAATACAAATTCATATCGAGCATCAGTGGAAAAAATCGATGACAATATATATATCTAACGATCATGAAAGAAACTCGTGATTCCGCACGCGCGCGTTATTGCAAACAGTGTTTGAAGAGCGGGACGAAGGAAGAGGCGTATATAATCAGCGGCTAAGTGTCACCGTGAAGTGACAGCTTCCTAGATTGCAGCTATTTTGCACGAGCGGAATGTTGATTGCACGATACTTGGCGCCAACGAGTCTGCTCGGTCGGTAATCGCCGATGCGCCGGAAGTGGCGCGATTAATTCACCCGTAGCCAACCGTTTATCACCGTGAAAATGTTGCGTATCTATTATCCTTAATTTCTAGAATCCGTGCCCCGTTTATATAACCGATCGCGTAATCACGACAGTTCCCTGTTTCTCTTTCCTCTTTTTTTTTTCTTTTTTTTTTTTTTTTTTTT